TCGATCCCCAAACTTTTCTTTGATCACCTCCGCCAATTGACGAGCCAAGGGGGTGAATCCTCCTGACCTGATGCCCATGCTGGTTTGAGGAGTAAGCCCCCTTGACTGAATAGAGACATTTATGTCGTCATCAACGTGACCCCTCCCTCCATCATGAGGTGGAGCTTGCAACTCGAGACTTTTTTGCTGGGGACTTTTCCCTTTCTGTCGAGTATTCACCATGGTCACTATTCTTACTAGAGAAGAAACTAGGAAAATTAGTCATTTCCCACAGACAGCGCTAGATTGTGCGTGCAGGATCTTACACAATATAAATACGAGAACAGATCTCTCCCATGGTGAACACGAGTCAGTCAATCGAATGGTCAACCTTGCTAGGCGGAATAGACTGTAAGGACCGGTGGTAGCCTAGAACGGTAATGGGTGACTTTTGTGGGTCACCGGGGTGGTCCTGTAAGGCTAGGGAAGATTCCTGTAATAGAGAAAAACGAGTTAGGAGGGCGCCGAAGTATTTTTCGGCGTATCCCCTCCAACGATCAAGTCAGTTCTTTGAGAGAGGGGAAGAAGAAAATACTGTGTATATGTTTGAGAAAAGGTTTTTTTGCGTACCTCATCATGCGTTTTGTGAAGAGTATTTATACCTTAAAAACTCATGATTGCTGTCAGTATAGTTGGTAGGTGATCATTAGAGGCGGGTAACGTGCACACTGGTTTTTAGGAGAAATGACCTCTTTCTTAACTGCTCGGGACCCCGAGCAACTAATGCATCACTCTCGGTCTGTTGAGCATTTAATGACCTTCACTTAGCTAGGATATATTAAATGCTCTGTCACAGGATCATTCCTTGTCTTTCACTTTCGGGTCTTTATGCATTAAATGTTGTCTCATCAAGGGAAAGGTGCATTAAATACTTGCTTTCCCAAGTTGTGTGTCAGCAAGGGCATTCTGGTCTTTTTGTCTATGATCTGACACAGTACGCCACGTGCCAGCTCCCCTTTGGTTGAGCCTTCTGCTTTCCCGTGCGTCATGACACCATCTAGGTAAGACCAGGTCATGATGGCTAATCTAGCTTAATCCAGACTAATGACCTGTCTATCAATAGCCCTGCAGGAACTGGAACGCCGACGTAGTGGGTACACATCGGTGCCGAGGGCCTAGTATGGTCAGGGCCGATGTACCCACCCCCAATCGACCGAGGAATACGTGTCGCTCGTGCATACCGGCGTCGTAGATCCTTATGCATAGTACCATCTCGGGAGAAGAGAGATCATGATCCGACGAGCACGTGTCGTGATCATGGCAGAGAATATTTTTTGACACCGAGTACACGTGTCGTTATCTTGGAGTGTCCGAAAAATGTCTCATCAAATTGCTTTCATTATGAATTTGTTTGTAGCGTAAATATGTAAACCAACGAAGGGTATTGATACGCAATAAACTTTGAACTAAACATATAATACAGGGTTTAGATTATGGTTCAAGGTCGCAGTATCGGCTATTGACTCGAAAAGGTCTGAGACACATCGATACGACGTAAAAGAAAATGTTGAACATGATGATAGATTCAGGTCATATCGTTGTGTTGTAAAATTGTATCCACCGATTCAGTGACTATATCTCGACAACTCAGATTTGACTCACAGTGATCTCGGTCGAGCCCTGCGACACTTGGAGTTTATATGTATCATCGTATTGGAAGGTATTGAGTCAGATATGACTCCATCAACTTGTATCAATATCAACCGATACTTTGAATTATGATCCGGAAAGAACTTGGAAGAATTTGTGCAGAAGCTCTTTGTAGTTTTCAGTTAGTCCGAAGTCTAAATTACACTTTGGAGAATGGCTTAAGTTTGCTATTATGGACTTGTGACATGGGAGCAGCTTCTTTTTCTTTTTCTGTTTTGGTTTTTTTTAATTTGGGGGAGAGGTTAAAGAGAATTTTATTTTTGATCAGAGAATTGTATATAAACACCACCATTTTACCCAATTACCCTTGCATGCATTTTGAGTAAACAAAAGACTTGTGTACCAGTTATGATGACAACCCTCCTCGACTAGAGAATTCGCACATTAATTTGCCTCAAGAAACATGGAAAATTATCTTGGCTCTAAATTACTCCAAACAAGCAGCAAAAGTTTTTTGAAATTTTGTATCTAAAACCAATGTGGATGGTTGGTTCCATAGGTCTCGTTACAAAAATTAACAAATTCTACTCATATTACTATTTACATTAACTTAAAGGGAGAATTACACACAGTCTCTCTAAAGTTTTTTACTTAATCAATTAGATCCCTTGATGTTTAAAATATTGCACACAGACCACTTAAAATTTATACACGCGTAACACTTAGACCTCTGTCGTCAATGTTCATAAGTATATCCATTAGTAAATTGTATCAAAATCCCCTGAACTTTGTAGACGTATAATACTTAGACCCCTTAAATATAAAATGTTTATACTTGAAGGATCTAAGTATCATACGTCTACAAATTTCAGGAAGTCTAGATATAATTTACTAAAGAATATACTAACGGACATTGACGGTAGAGATCTAAGTGTTACGTGCGAATAACTTCAGGGGTCTTGTGTGTAATATTTTAAATGTCAGAGATTATGAGTGATTAAGTGACAAATTTAAGAGGTCTGGATATAATTCTCTCTAACTTAAAATGCAAAATTTGGAATAACTTTTGGAATGCACATTCTTACGGTGCTCAAAGTCAAATTGGAATGATGCAAAATGGGAGCATAACGTTGGAGTTACTCATTGCTAGGGCTTGTTAAGTTCTTGCATTATGTTTGAATTCTTGTCCCGGGGCATTTATGATATTTAAATTATTTTTCATTAAATTGGGTTTTGTCAAATTAGTTTTTATCTTACACCTCATTTTTATTAGTCTTGCAAAATATTACATTAAAATCATAAATCAGATATTCTAAGTTCGAAACTTGATAATTCTCGTGGTTTTGACCCTTATGAATTCTTTAATGTAGGTGTGGATGACTTATCATAAGATTGTCAATATCAATAAAACGAACTTCTTGGTATTAGACAAATACAAACAAAAATGTGGATGAACTATTAGACTGTCAACATTAGAAAATTGAACTAGTATCTGGGTGGTCCGATGGTAAATTGATTTTGAAGGCCATAATGAATTTCTGGTTAAAAAATTATATATGAAGAATACAAAAGTATCAACGATTGATGCTAATATTCTAGCAAGTGAAGAGCGTTCAGTAGATTTGAATTCTATTTTGAAGATGGTGCATCAGGTTTAAAAATAAATATATTATAATGTAATATTCAAAAGAATAACACGCATAAGTAGTTTGACGTAGAATTGAACTTTAAATGAACTGCAAACTTCAATTTTCTTGAGTTCGATTCTCAATTGTGATTCTCAAGTTGTGAATGTCTTAAACTTACTCTGCAATAGTGAATTCAATGTCATCATTTCTTAAAAAAGTTGCTTGTCGACAAAAAAAAAAGGGAAAAACGAAATTGATTGGTTATTGCATGGATGGGACAAATTTCAATTCATATCCTTATTCCTATTAATGTTCAATGCACACAAGAATGTGCAATGGAATATATTTTCCAAATTCCAAGGTTCACATGGCATGCCAAAAAAAAAAACCCATGAAAAATACTGTTTTGTATGAAAGCCTTTTACCAAAAAAAAATCCAAGTAAATTGCTAATCTCATCCCATCACAAAAGGACAGAAAAGTAGTTGGGTGGACACAACTATAAAATAGGTGTTGGGTGGGACTAATGACTCATACTACATAATTCCCTCCCCCCCCCCCCCCCCCCCCCCCAACAACCCAACCATTATTGTTCTTCCTCCTTCTGGTAGAGCTTGAAGAATTCCTAAAACTGCGGCATATTCAAGTCCAATACGTTATTGTATTAGTGTAGATATTTCTCTTTCTAACCAAACAATTACTAAATGCTCTTCTTCTTTTTCTGATCTTTATAATGTATTTGGTTATAAAGAAAATAAAAGCTTTAATGGGTTTGTTTTAGATTAAGTAAACTATTAAGGGTATGCCCCCAAATTTCTCTTCTTCTTTTTTTCTGTCTGCGGGTGTTTAGATTCAAGATTAACATCTTGTACCCTTTTCTTCTTTATGTCATAATAGATGATTAATTCTCCAAAACTGGTTACTTATGCAATTGATTGTGAATCATCAGTTATATGTCCCTTTTTTTTTGGTCTGGTAAGGACTCTTCACTCATATATCCATCTGTCCTAAGCAAATTGATGCAATAATTCCTCTTTTATTGAGCAAATAATGATTGGGTTGACTTGAGTTCTTTAACTTTTTATGATTGATGTGCTTAAACTCTTGTTTGATTCGTCTGCCTCTTCTGATGATCATAGACAATGACCATGTAAATGATGTTAAGCTTGTGAAGTTGGGCATCCTTTGTTCTGCTGATGCATTATTGCCTTGATCATCTTCTTCTTCTTCTTTTTTTTTTTTTTGTTTGAGCATAATTGACATCTGAACTCATTTTATCTAGTATATATGATAGCAATGACGCTTAAAATATAAATGAAAGCAGTGGAACAAAGTGTTGCTTCGGCAAACAAGGGTATTGAAAATCTAAAAAACCCAGGCTTTGTTGGACCAACAAAGATTATATACTTCTGCTATTAGGTTGGTGAGGAATTGAATTTTCCACTCTCGTTGATGTTTAAATGCTTATTGTGCTATATAGAACTGCCAGGTGACAAGGGGTTATTCTTCTGTTTTTTTCAATCAATCTCTTTGCCTTTGAAATTGTTTATTTCTTCAATTATTATTCGAAAACCATCTTTTATGCTTTCAGAAAGACCTAGAAGTTAATTCTCTTCTCTTTGATTTCCTCCTTGAAGCACTGGGTGGTTCTTGTTCCTAACTGTCTCTATCTCTGCTTTGAACAGTGATATTTAGAGAAGAAAAACCCAAACTTACGAGCTTATTCGTTTCAAGAAACATCTAAATGATTCGTACACTGCAAGAGATTAAGGGTGGTGAAGGTCCCATCAAGGTAGGGGCTACTGGAAAAGTCAGTGCCCTCATGATGCAGGAGCTAGACACCATGAAACTCACATCTCACTCCTCTATATCATCGAGGAAGAAACCACAAACCGTCCCAGTTTCAGTATCTTGTGGTATGCCGACAAAAAGACTACAACCAAGAAGAAGAACATCAAATGGTGCAAGTACAAGTGACAGCATGAGCAATGGTAATCATAGAAGGATTTGAAAGCACTCGGAGAAAGATACGTGACCATTGGCATACTTCACATCACATTCCCATGCTCGAGTCAGAGGATGTTTCTGTAGATAGAACTCCCAGTAGAGGCAAAACTGAGAAGAAAGGATGCCAGATTGTTGAAATTGTGGACTTCAACTGTGGGAATCCTGATAAAGCTTGGTCTGGTCCTATTACCAACCAACTCAAGAGGCTCAGCTTCACTAGACTTTCTGAATAAAACCCCCTCAACCTGTTAAAATCTGAACTCACATACAAATTGGATTCAAACGAAACCCAAAAATTTAAACTCAAAGTGACTTGTTTTGATCATTATATATTAGCCCCCCTTTTCTTTTCTTATATTCCTTGTAAGAGGTCTTTAAAAACCATATACAATGGCTACTTGCCTGCTTTTCAAACCAAGGCATTCAGTTTTTCTTATAGTTTCATGGCATCCTAACTCAAGACTGCGAAAATCACATTACAAAAGCACTGTGCCATTGGACATCATTAAAAAGAGAAAACTACAATCCTATAACAAGTCACCATTGACCCCAGAATCCAATGCTGGGACTTATTTCCAATCCTATGTTTGAAAATAATAAAAGTGTATGTATGCATCATCATATCCCATGAGTGAACAACTAGTAGGCTGACTCGCAGGATATGACATTTCAACTTTGGGTTCTCTGCTTCACAATGTGGTTAGCATTTTCATTACAGACTATGCCAAGCATAGGGACTAGCGTAAACAGTTCAGAAACTGTCGACAATCTCAGAAAATAGCACTATGCACCTTCTGGCTTTCAGAAAAAACCTGAACTTATTGGTTCTGTGATGACCCGGGTGGAAATGGCTACACGAAAGAAAATTATGAGGGTATGCATGGGCAGAGCGCCACGAGAAAACCATGGATATGGTGACTACTACAGGCACAAGAACATGGCATTGCGGTCTATGAAAGAAGCTCTAAAATGTTGGTGTCAAACTTAGTTTTTCTTTTTGTAGACCTTTATATAAATGCTCCTCAACATTATGCAAGCCAAAATCCCGTTATGAATGTCAACCATAATAACTGATCATTCATTAGTTAATTCTCTGCACTTGAAGCAAAACTGAAGGTGAAAATACAAAAGAATGAAAGATAAATTACCACTTATATATTGAATTTTCCAACTGTCAGGTCAGTATACTTCATACAGCTGTGAAACTTGGCAGCCATAATGGGAGTAAACAATCCAAAAAGCACAAGAACAATTCTGTTACTTCTTCTTCCCTGCTTTGCCCTCCTTTCTTCTAACCACTTCATCAGCATATTTCACTCCTTTACCTTTATACGGCTCTGGTGGTCTCCATTTCCTTACTGAAGCAGCAAATTGACCAATGGCAGACTTATCATATCCACTCACAACAATTCTGGTGTTGTCTTCCACCTTCACTTGAATGCCATCAGGGATTGCCATCCTAACTGGATGAGAGAACCCAAGAATTAATACCAGGTCCTTCCCTTCTAGCATTGCACGATATCCTACGCCAATTAATTGAAGTCTCTTCTCAAATCCTTTAGATACACCCACCACCATGTTGTCTGTAAGAGTCCTGAGCAAAATAAATTGGATGGAGTTACAGAATAACACAAAAGAAAGTAAACAAACTTTATTGTGAAGGGTTTGTCAGTAATCCCATCTTTGCGGCTAATTTTTCAAATATCGACTAATGGAGAAGTGCATGTAAGGGACATTCAAGGACTGTAAAAATTATAGCATTTGCATTCCAATTTTTTGCGTAAAATCTTCCATTAATTAATTTAGACAGGTTAACCTCAAGGCTTTCAGTAACTGCTAGCTCCCTACCAACAGTTAAACCAATTCTTTGTAATTTTAAGGATTTGTTTCCTTTCTATCTTGTTACAATCACAAAAAAATTGAAAGCAAAGAAATGAGGTTTGTAATTGGAAGTGGTCAAAAAAGTACCCAGAAGTTCCTATTGTTGAAGTTGAACATTCATCAAAGGAAAGATCGATTTCCCACTAATTTAACTAGGGAGTCAATGACAAGGGAATCTTGATACATAATATAATTTTGTTTCCAAATTGTTCCATCTCACAGAGAGAGAGAGAGAAAGAGAGAGAGATCAGACTTATTCTCCTCACAAAGTCACGTAGAACCCAAAAGACATGTTTATCTTGAATTTGGAGAGAATCTTGATAACTCCTAGAGTTTTGGCCATATTTAACGGAGGTTAGCTTTGAGCCTTTTCGCCGTCTCCAGCATAACTTTTGACAAAGAAGAAATTCTTGTCTCGACACACCATTGTACGTACTTGCCTACTCAACTCTATAAGGATCCCTCACCAGCAACTGGCTCTTTGCAAACCCATATCCTTAACCAAAACGTCCCAACTGGAATAATCTTAAGGTCCATGTTGACAATATCTACTTTTATCGATTCACCACCCCTGTCGTCTTCTCTGTAGACTTTGGACCAGCTGCCTAAAACGTGAGGCACCATGCATGACATAGGTAACCTAATGAGCACATACTTGATGAAGTTACCCTTAACTATCGCTCTACCACTTTCAAATAGATATTTACCAACAAATTGCAGCAATGAAGTCAGAGTGGTTACTAGGGGGAGTACAATTACAATTACAAAGACTATGAAAAAAAGAATTTATTTTATCTTTCATGAAAAGGTCATGTAAAATCAAACCCAAAATTGCGAGAGTTAACGAAAATCCGATTATATATGTTATGAGTAGCATATAAATAGAAGATGAGTAGAGAACACGATTTTCTGGAAAAATTAAGACACAAAGAAGTATCAGCGTACCTAAATAAACCATGCATTTGGTTGGCCCTTCTTGTTTCTGTTGCTTTTTTGACCCTTAGGATTCCTGCTTCCTCCCTTTCAACTTTCACTTCACTTGGATAAGTTATTGCGAGCTCCCCTAGAGGACCCTTTACTTTCAAATCTTGACCTTCCATTGTGATTGTCACATTTGATGGCACTTCAATTGGCTGCTTCCCAATTCTAGATTCCTTACATTCCACAGTCTTCCTCACAAAACCAACACGGATGGCAGGAACATGGGAAACATGTACTCCACTTCTCTCACCCCAAAAGGCAGATCTCAAGTTGCTGACATGAAGGAAAAATAGTTTTCTCAATCTTAGAAATCATCAGTTGAGTAAATACTAACAATGACTGGAAAGCCCTTCTATACAAAACCCTCAATTTTGAACAACTTTAGTTCCTCAGCTTCCAGTAGTGCTAGACTAGTTTCAAAATATAAAACCCTCAATTTCAAACAACTTTGGTTCCCCATCTTCCAGTAGTGCTAGACTAATTTCAAAATACAAAACCCTCAATTTCAAACAAATTTAGGTCCCCAGCTAATCCTTATTAACAAAAAAAAAAAACTTTAAAACAAAGTAGGACTTAAAAATTATGACATATCCAATGTGAGTGATCATAGAAATTGAGAATTTAAACTACCTAAGAAAAATATGACAAGCCACCCCTGAATTCCTCAGTTCTGGTCATTCTTTCGCATATTCAAACTTCCCCATAAACTATTCACATTGATAAGACAGTAATGTCCCCAAATGGCCATGTATTTCCTAATACCCATTACAGGGTTCCCCCCATTTTCATCAATCATACAGTAATATCTTTCACACCCAGATTGGGAACATGAATAAGAACCCACTTCTGCTATAAATAATTAAACCAACTTAAAAACGAGGAACAAAGTTCTTACTCTGAGAAGATGGAGTTCAATTTAAGAGAAAGTACACATAATAGTAAAATGACGAACAATAATACTAAACAGATGGTCAGATTCAGTAACTATACATCTATATTCTTCGAGTATTCATAATAGATTTAGGGTCGTTACCTTGTATGAACAGGGGCAGTGACTGAAGAAGCCATTGTCATTCACCTTCGGAGCATCAAGATGAAGTTAAGAGTGGCTATCCAAAGCGACTGTTATCCGCTCGGACTTCATGTCTCATGTAATTACTTAAATACCCCCTCCTACAAAATGATTTGTCTGATAATTAAAACTTTAATGTGTTTGCGTGTGTGTGTGTGTTTGGTTTTTTTTTTTTTTTTAAATGTTAGACCATCTTGAATGGAAGTCCAAATTTTTACTCAAATTTAAGTTAAAAAAAAGGTAAAAAATTTGATTTCATATAACCTTTTAAATAGAGAAACTCAAATTTAAATGAGAATAAATTTAAATTTAAATTTAAAAAAGAGTAAAATATGACTATTGGATCTTTAAAAGATGATGAAATTCCACCATTAAAATTTTGAGAATTGATTTGGGTTTCTCTTGATTTGGATTTAAAAAAGGGTTTTTCTTTATTTGGTATGAGCATGAGTTTAGTATTTGAGAAATATTATAGACTATTTTTATCTAAATTTAAATTTAGGTATAAAAAAAATGAAGGGTCGAAGATGCTCTTATGAGTTCGAATCTTTTAATCCATACTATAAAAAAAGAAAAAAAAAATCACTACTATACTTCTAAGTTTTATAATTTTTGTGGGTTTTGATATAACTTTTATATTTATTTAGGGTTAATACTTTGATCATTAAAATATGCACATTTTGTCAGTTTAATCCCTAAAGTATTAATTTTATTAATATTGTCCCTAAAATATTCAATTCTTATTTAAATGTTTCCTATGTAGTTGGGTGGTTAAGTTTTTAATGGAATGATAAGTATTGATAACATGATATCATTTGAAAGAGTAAGACATAGTCACTTTCGTTAAAAAAACCTAACAAATGGTCTGATTAGGGGCTAAAGTGACACAAATAAAAATTTTGGGACCAAATTAGCAAAATTAATATAATGAAGATTAAACTGACAAAACAAACATATTTTAGAGATTAAAAGTACTATTAACCAAAAAAATTATAACTTTTTGGTATCATGTAATAACTTAAGGTTTGAGTTACAACTTTTTTGAGTTAAGTTAACAATTTTGTGATAACTTTGCCTTCGATCCTAATATTTTAGGATCGATTGTAAGTAATTATAAAAATTGTAAATAATCCCCAAAATTTGTTAAAAAAACTAGAAAAACTGTAATGGTGGTATGATACCAAATTTTTTTAGAGAAAAATTCCATTTGAAACTAATTTGACGATACAATCCAATAACATAATTAATTATAACTGCTAAATTAAAAATGAGCTCAATTTAATATTAGAACTCATAACT